GGAGGTATTAAATAATTCTTAAATTATTCATTCAATTATTTATATTATTGTGATATGATAAGTTATCCCATATATATGGTGGGATATCTTACCTCATGATAGCTTATTCCAGAATAATTAATTCCAGGCTAACTTGGATGTTGGACCTATTAAAATATAGCTTTATAATGTTACTTTTAAGGGTTGGTGAAAATAAACAAGTACTCATGACTGCAATATATGTTTAGAGCAATCTACAGTAAAACCTCACTAAATTAATATAAATATGACTATAAAATATTATTATTTTGTAGAGATATTATTTAATTGATAAATTAATATTATTAATTTAAAGAGTGTTTTGACAACACAAAATTTGTTCGGTGATTAAATCTCAGAGAATTTAAATGAATCCACTTGATGAAAACGTCATTCATGCACTTGAGGTCATGATTAATAATCATCGCAATAAAATGGACATTAATAACCTATTGAATGGGTGAAAATGGTACATGTTAAGATGTCCAAAGCTTAGAAGAAATTGTGGATACCATTGAAAAAAATAATGTTGATGATAAAGTTGAAGATGATACAATACCTTTCGAACCAGTTACGCGTAATGACACATTTATCACATTTAGAGCTCATCACAATTTTATGGTGCAATTCAAAAAAATATTACCGAAACTTTTGGATGCAATAAGAAAAGTTAGAGATGAGCTTCAACAAGATTTCAATTTTAACAAAAAACAAAATCCAATTAAATCATATTTCACTAAATTGTCTTACATATATTTGTACTTTAAAGAATTATTAATTTATAATATTAATGGGACCATATATTTATACAGGGATTTTCTAAAAATATATTATCTTATTATCATATCGAAATGTGTAATTTTTTTCATTGATCCAAGTCGGGACCGGAGGAAAATATTATCTTAAAGATGTTATTAATTAATCGAATATTAACTTAGTGATGTTTTAGTGTACATCACGTGAAAAATATATACATGTACATAATTGAAATTTGTTTTCCAACTCTGTGAAAGTGAAACCCTCTTGTGATATTTTTGCTACTTGTTTTATCCTTTCTTAATTTGTTCGTTTAATGAATAAGCATGTCGTATGTTTATTTTATTTTTTCCAGTAGTTGTCTATAAGTTTCGAGAAAGATTAAAATATAAAAGACCAAACATGTGAGTAGAAGAAATATTTATGTTTACATAATGTTTAAAATATATGGACATCAACTATTGTTGTGATGATTGTTATGTATTGTTTCATAATGTATTACTATTGTATATAAAATATTGTGTTGTATTGTATCAAATCATATTGTTATAACGAATATAATGTTTGGATAGATTGTATTTGTCTCCGTCATTACATAGTATATGTTAATAGTAGTGACTTAAAAGATAAGCAAAGAATATAAGTCAGTTAGGATTAGTAACTAATTATTAGTTAAGTTAGTTATGCCTTACTAGTTTGTTATAGCTTACAAACTATTGTGTATAAATAGAGATATGTACATATTGAATATATGATGAAGAAATAATAAGAATGAAAGTATAGAATGTTTAACTCTAGCAAGATACATCTTCTTTAAAGATTACTTCATCTTCTTCCTGATCTGTATTACTTCTTCCTACTCTCATTGTTCTTCTTCTTCTTCTCCCTAATTCTAAGCTTCATAAAACTACATGGTATCAGAGCTTTCAAGCAAGTAATCCAATGCTTGATTCATACGATTCTGCGACTATTCGACAGGAGTGATTACAGATCAACTACGTGAAGGTTCAGTTCAAGAATGGCACCAAACTCTGCAGATTCACAGGCACAACCTACAACTTCTAGTAGTGGTACTGCAATTGTGATAGATCACAATCATCCCCTGTTTCTGCATGCATCTGATGTAAGTGGAGTACAAATTGTATCGTTTCAGTTGACTGGAATTGAGAATTACTCAGTTTGATTTAGGTCAATGAAAATTGCGTTGCTAGGAAGGAACAAGTTGGGGATGGTTGATGGGTCATGTAAAAAGGAGGATTTCCCAGGATTAGAAAATAATTGGGAAAGAGTCAATGCAATAGTGTTATCTTGGATCATGAATTCTGTGTCAAAAAGCTTGTTAGGAGGCATAATGTATGCTTCGAATGCTCGAGTAGTGTGGGATGATCTGTTTGAAAGATTCAACAAGATCGATGGGTCAAGAACCTTTAATCTACACAAGGAAATTGCAACTTTAAGTCAAGGCACAAGTTCTGTATCTGCTTACTACTCTAAGCTCAAAGGACTATGGGAAGAATTCGAGGCCTTAGTTCCAGCACCAGGGTGTGCGTGTGCAGGTTCGAAAGAGTATGTTGTGCATCTTCAAACTCTAAAATTGTTTCAATTTCTGATGGGGCTAAATGACTCTTACTTGCAAGCAAGAAGTCAAATTCTTATGTTAAAACCAGTACCCACTGTCAATCAGGCATATTCCATGATTCTAAGTGATGAAAGTCAGAGATCAGTGGTAGCTAATGCAGGAGTATTAGGTACAGGACCAGCCAACTTGCAGAGTTCGTTTGATGCTGTCATGTACTCAAGAACAAGTGGGGCTCAACAACGGTTCAAGAAAGGGTATAATCTGGTGTGTGATTTTTGCAAGATTAAAGGGCATACTAGAGAAAATTGTTACAAGATTATTGGATACCCACAGGACTTTAAGTTCAAAAAGAAAGGAAATAACAATTCTGCATACAATGTAACTGGAGAGGTTGATGATAGTGTGAAGTTAAGTAGCTGTACTAACTCTAGTGATGCAAGAGATGGACACATGAGAGGTGATGAAGAATTCAGAACTCAGAGTCAACTGGACTCGTGTGCATTGACTAGAGAACAATATGCTCAAATTTTGCAGTTGCTTGAGAAAAAATCAGAAGTTCCACATTGTGTAAATGCAGCAGGTATGAACTCTACTCTAGTAGCTACTTCTAACAATTGTTCAGGTTGGATCATAGACACAGGAGCCACTAATCATGTGGTGGCTGACTTGAATCTTTTAAAAAGAAGTTCCATATGTAAGGTTGCAACTCCAAAGAAGGTACACCTTCCCAATGGTGATAAAGGTGTGGTGACTCATTTAGGGTCATGTACATTAGATGGAAACAATACAGTTTCAGAAGTATTTTACATTCCTCAATTTAAGTTCAATCTCTTGTCTGTTGCAAAGTTAACAAAAGAGTTAAATTGTTCAGCGTCATTTTTTCCTGACTTTTGCCTATTTCAGGAACTCTTCAGTGGAAAGGTGAAGATGATTGGTAAAGAGGATGGAGGATTGTATATTCTGTCCAACAATATAGATAAGGAAGAAGTTGTGTTAGCAGCTGCACACACTGAGCATAAAGCTAGAATTACTGAAAAAATAGATACACAATTACTACATCAAAGGCTTGGTCATGTTTCTAGTTCTGTTCTAAAAAAGCTGTTAAGTCATAGTTTAGCTGACATTACAAAGATTGTAAGCAAATGTGTTGTATGTCCTTGTGCTAAACAAGCAAGATTGCCTTTTCCTGTTAGTACATCCAGTAGCTTAAACAATTTTGATATGTTACACATGGATTTATGGGGTCCTTATAAAAAACCTACATTTGATGGATTTAAATACTTCTTAACTGTTGTGGATGATCACTCTAGAATGACTTGGGTTTTCTTATTAAGAATGAAGTCTGATGTATGTACCATGTTGAAGTCTTTCTTAGCATATATAAGAACTCAGTTTGATAAACAAGTAAAAATTATTCGAAGTGACAATGGTACTGAATTTGTGAATACAAATTGTAATGACTTGTTTAAAGATTTAGGCATAGTACATCAAACTTCTTGTGCTTATACACCCCAGCAAAATGGGGTGGCTGAAAGAAAGCATAGGCATATTCTAGAGATTACAAGAGCTATAAGGTTCCAAGCAAATGTTCCTTTAGAGTTCTGGGGCTTATGTGTGAAAACTGCAGTATATATAACCAACAGATTACCTAGCAGTGTGATTGCAGACTTGTCTCCTTTTGAGAAACTTTATAATAAACAACCTTCAATACATCATTTAAGAGTATTTGGATGCCTATGTTTTGCTAAGAAGGTACATGAGAGTGACAAGTTAAAGTCAAGGTCTACTGCTTGTATTCTTATGGGATATGCTGAAACTCAAAAAGGTTATGTTTTATATGATTTGTCTAATAAGGTTTTTTTTTGTTAACAGAGATGTAGTGTTTCAAGAAGAGGTTTTTCCTTTCAAACTGAAATCAACTGAGTCAGTTCCTATGTTTACTTATAATGGTATAAATCTTGAGAGTGATGGTGTGGTAGATAGTTCAGACAATAGCCTAACACCACATTTCTATCAAAACACACCTGTGGACATGGTGTCTCAAGAACAAGAGGAGAATTGTGAGGTGGAGGTACATGAAGAAGGGCAGATAGAACCAGTACCTCAAACTGGGGTGAGAAAGTCAGGCAGAGGGACTAAGCCGCCTTTGTGGATGAAAGATTTTGTGTCTCTAAATATCCATGAGGGTCCATATAGTCTTGACAAGTATGTATCCTACAACAATATTGCTCCTACTTATCAAACATATTTGGCAAAAATGTCCAATGAGACAGAACCACAGTCATACAGAGAAGCATCATCTGATCCTAGGTGGACTGAAGCAATGAATGCTGAGATTAAAGCATTACAAGAGAGTCACACTTGGGAAGTAGTTGAGTTACCAGAAGGTAAGACACCTATAGGCTGCAAATGGATATTCAAGGTCAAATACAAGGCTAATGGAGATGTGGAAAGATTTAAAGCAAGGTTGGTGGCAAAAGGGTATAGTCAGAAAGAAGGTATAGATTACCAAGAAACATTTAGTCCTGTTGTTATGATGAAGACAGTCAGGACTGTTTTGGCTATAGCTGCACAAAGACATTGGCAAATACATCAAATGGATGTATTTAATGCATTCCTTTAAGGCGACTTACCTGATGAGATCTACATGGAACTACCTCAGGGATTTGAGAGCCAGGGGGAGAACAAAGTATGTAGACTCACTAAATCCCTGTATGGGTTGAAACAAGCTCCTAGACAGTGGAATGCAAAATTGTCCGAGGCATTATTGAGGTTCCAGTTCAAACAAAGTGAACATGATCATTCTTTGTTCACCAAACAAACATCTGCAGGGTCTGTATTTGTTCTTATATATGTGGATGACATGCTTATTACAGGAAGCAGTGGTCAACTCATTGAAGAAACAAAAAAGAAGTTGAGTCAAACCTTCAAGATGAAGGACCTAGGTGAGCTAAGATATTTCCTAGGAATAGAGTTTGCAAGGTCAAGTAAAGGGTTACTAATGCATTAGAGGAAGTATGCTTTAGAACTTATCTCTGAAACAGGACTGGGAAATTCAAAACCAGCAGTGACTCCTATTGACAACAACAACAAATTGACTTCAAAACAATATGATGATCAGTTCAATTCAGAAAGTTCAAAAGAAGATCCTCCAGCTGATCAAAGTGCTTATCAGAGATTGATAGGAAAGCTTCTTTACCTTACTATGACAAGGCCTGACATTTCGTTTGGAGTGCAGACCTTGAGTCAATTTCTACAACAACCTAAACAGACTCACATGGAAGCAGCCCTGAGAATTGTTAGGTATATAAAAGGGCAGCCTGGTCAAGGAATACTTCTATCTAGTGTACAAGACAACAATATCACAGCTTTTTGTGATGCAGACTGGGCATCATGTCCTCTTACAAGGAAGTCTGTAACAGGATACTTTATCAAGCTTGGAAATTCTGTTATATCATGGAAATCTAAGAAACAGTCTACTGTTTCTAGAAGTTCAGCCGAAGCTGAATACAGAAGTATAGCCACAACTATAACTGAAGTTATTTGGATGATAGGTCTGATGAATGATCTAGGTATTAAGATACAGAAACCTATAGATGTGTGTACAGACAGTAAAGCAACAATCTTGCTAGCTGTTAATCCTGTATATCATGAGAGAACAAAACACATTGAGGTAGATTGTCACTTCATAAGGGAAAAAATTGTACAAGGGGTTATTTGTACCAAGTACACTCCAACACAGGAACAACCAGCTGACATGTTAACCAAAGGACTGACCAAGGTTCAACATCAAGTTCTCAGTTCCAAGCTTGGAGTTCAAAACATTTTTTCACTTCCAAGCTTGAGGGGGAGTGTTAATAGTAGTGACTTAAAAGATAAGCAAAGAATATAAGTCAGTTAGGATTAGTAACTAATTATTAGTTAAGTTAGTTATGCCTTACTAGTTTGTTACAGCTTACAAACTATTGTGTATAAATAGAGATATGTACATATTGAATATATGATGAAGAAATAATAAGAATGAAAGTATAGAATGTTTAACTCTAGCAAGATACATCTTCTTTAAAGATTACTTCATCTTCTTCCTGATCTGTATTACTTCTTCCTACTCTCATTGTTCTTCTTCTTCTCCCTAATTCTAAGCTTCATAAAACTACAGTATAATTTCACACATCAACAATATTAAGGATAAACTACAAGAAAAAGTATGGTATGTGCAAGATTTAAAGCTATTACTCCCTCCGTCCCATTTTATGGCACTTTTCGGATTTCGAGATTCAAACAAGTCTAACTTTTGACCGTAATATTTTCATAGATCTTTTAAACATTTTGAATTATCAATTATTGTGACTTATAGTACTTTTTACGTTGTTTACAAATATATAAATTTCATTTACAAAAAAATTGAAGATTTCATGCGCAAATTCCCGGTCAAACTTAAGGTGTTTGACTCTCGAAAAATGAAAAGTGCCACATAAATTGGGACAGAGGGAGTATAAAAAGACAAGGTAAAAAATAAAATAAGATTATTAAGAATTAAATTAATAAAAGTAATAAGGTAACGACACGATCACACCAAATCAATTGTTACTGAAAACCTTATGTATAATTACCTAATGATAGATTTAACAATACGATACAGTAAAATTTATATAACAATAATCAAAATAAATATCATCTTTTAATATATAACGAATAGGCAACAACAACAACAACCATACAAACAAGCTGTTAAGAGACTTAAGCGGATGTCTTATTCTCGATTAAATGGGTTCTCCTTTTACTTTTCTTAATGGATATATATAGTGAAATTGCTATATAATGTGCATATATACATAATATACAACTTGTCCTTATAAACTCCAAAAAGTAAAAGTTGTTAAGTCTCCCACACTGGTGCATGGCCGATAGGTACTTTGGTCTCACTTATGCAATTGATCTTCTCTTACAAATTAGTTTTAGAAATTGAGTTAGACTCAAATTACATATTTTTATATAATAATATTAGAATCAAGTTTATAATGTCATATTCGATCCATGCACTAAGCTTTCAGTCCGAAATATATATATGATGGGGTGTTAAGTCACCCCACATCGAAAGAATTAAGGAATAGTGAATATTTAGCAAGTTGTTTTCCAATGTGGCGTCACGTCCAAAATTCCAAGTGTATGACTTATCAAGCAAAGACGAAGACAGGATTAAGATTTTGGGGGTTCTAAATTTCCTTTATAACTGTCAATCAATTTTGTTAGGGGTTCACAGATTAATATACATATATATTTAACTAATTTTCTAGAAAAAACTATTGGATTCGTCCGAATCCCCACCTAACCCCCACCTAGCTCCGCCTCTGCATAGTAGTGGCTCATTTCACCAATAAATTACGCAAGGGATAGTCTCAACAAATTAAGAAGATTGCGAGGCGCAAGAATGCGAAACGAACCCAATATTTGAGATTTTTACAGAATCATTGTGGGACAATTATTAAATATGAACCATTAAAGTAAAGGTGGAAAAGAAAGATCGTTCAATATTCAATATTATTAAATGGAAAAAGTTTAGTCCTAACATATTGAATGAACGTGATTCATGAGAAAATGCCGGTCATTATTTATTTATCACTACTTGACTTACAAGTCTCTAGTTACTAGTGTAATATACATATATATTCTCTTATTTATTTCTTTTTATAAAAATGATAATTTAATAGGAAATGTTATCTTAAAAATATTTTTAAATATGTTCAAAAAACAATTTTATATAAATCAGCAGAAAATATTATTCCATCAGGAACACTATAAAAATGCTTAAAAGTCATTTTTAATTTACAAATGGTTAAAATAAATTATCCAAACATGCGACTATAGTCATGTCGTTTTCTGCTGCAGATATTGCCTTTTGCTTTCCTTTAATTTATTCCACAACTTTAATTGAGCCTTCTCATGATTACTGTTTCATAGCTCCAAAAAATAATTAATGGTCTTCCTATAGTATACAATTAAGGAAAGACAATTGATCAAAACACAAAGAAATCAAATGAAAGATCGTGTTTTTTGCGCAATTAGCCGACTGAATTTACTATTTACTTTCACTAGCTAGTATATCTATAGATTATAAACTATTTTAATGTTCAACCATATCATACGTATGCTTCACGAAGAAGGCATACAAGTTATTAATGCAAGTTATGTCAATGGTTGGCAGCAAATGTTGAGAAACATATCGGTGGATGTTGAAAAAATGTTGTTGATTTCTTCTATAAAAGGAGCTTGTTAGCTCATTTGAAATTACACCAATTCACAGAGAGTAAAATATTTAGAGAGCTGTGAGGTTTCCATAGACTATATAAGAAAATAGTCTGTGAAGAAAAATAGAGTGTGAGCGATATTTTAGTAAGGTGGAAATCAAAAGAGTGTTATTCCTTTTGAGTGTGTAGTAGTCACTTTGAGTATTGTACTCGTGACTACAGTGTAAAATTCCTTACTATAGTAATATCAGTTGCTCCTCTTGGCCCGTGGTTTTTCCCTTATTTAGAAGGGTTTTCCACGTAAAATTCTTGGTGTCATTATTTTTATTTAGAAGGGTTTCCACGTAAAATTCTTGATGTCATTATTTTCCCATTTTATTTTCATTACTTTTACCATATATATTTTTGTGCTTGTCCGTGTTTTCCCAACAAGTTATAGTGTCAAACTGTCAATGGTGAGACCATTTTCCATTCCATATATTCTAAGGTATATATATCTACTTATAATACCTATTTCCATATCTTCTTTTCCACCTTTTTTTCTTCTTTGATCGAACAATTAGGATAACAAAGTCACTAAACTATTTTTGATGACAAGAAAATCATTATACTTTACCTAAAAATGACAAACGAAATAGTTATTATAGCTTTGATATAATAAATTGAAATTTGAATGATCACCTATGAATTTTACCCTAAAAATTAATTAGATACACTATTCAAAACTTAATTGACCGCTCTTATTAACTCAAATTTCATAAGATCTAATTAAATTCTAAATTAGCATGCTTTATAAGTTCCAAAATAAGTGGTGTTTCAGTATTTTCATTTTGTTTTAAAATAAGTGGCATTTTTTTAGGGATTCAAGACGGAATTGATCTCATTCTTTCAAAATTGTATACTCTTGTTGTAATACATGTAATTTTACACCATTAAAGAAATATCACTTCTAATATTTTAAAGACATTTAATTAGGAATAAGTAAAAAACAAATCCTTATTTTCGTGGAATGAGTAATTTAGACCTTATAGCGATGTAGCCAAGCTTAAAAAAACACCACTTATTTTGAAAAAGAGAAAAGAAAAACATTTATTAGTTTGTGTATTGATTCATGATGAGTTTGTTTTGGTATTATTAGGTGGGAGAAAGTGATACGTCGTCGTCAGGATACGGAGCTGCTGCAAGGATTATCTCTCAGAAATTAAAGCAGATTGTGGCTGCAGCTGCTAGCTAATTAATATTGCAATCTTGGTCAAACGCGATGTTAGGAATTAGGATATGAGATCGGTTGAACTCATTAACTTTTCCTTAAATAGTATAATAATATTAAGAAATTTGTTAAATATAGAGGCGAATTCATATGTGTATGTGGGGTTACACAAGTATCCATTAATTTTGAAAAAAATCATATATATATGTCTATCTTGAAAAACGGATAGAAATGAAATATAATTAACACTCCCCCCATTAAAAGCATAAAAGGGTGCTTTGGACGGCTAGTCCACACTTACACATCCACCTACGCTACCTGGGTTTTGTCCTAGCTAGAACCTCTCTTTTTTCCGCTTAATATTGGTGCACCAAATTTTTTCAAATTCTTAGTTTACCTCTGGAATCACTTAAATATATATAAATATTAAGTTTATTACTTAGTAATTAATACTTAAATATATACGAATATTAAGTTTATTACTTAGTTATTAAGTAATACTTAAAATCGTCATTATAAAATTCAGAACTCATAAAATTAAAATTCTGACTTCATCTTTGCTCATGGTCTTTTCCATTTTTCACTTTCTAGTTCACTTGATAAGTTAGTATTGTACTCTTATCTTAGTTCCTTTTTCTCGTGTTTTGGTGGTGAAATTACATGTACAATTAGTATTTGTGGTTCTAAAATGAGCATTTCGGCTTTTATGAATGTTGTGTAATCCAATCTTCTTCTTCTTTTTTGCAGAATGGTACTTAAAAACACCTTTAATTTTTAGTGACTTTAGATACACAAAATTCCTGCTGTCTGCTGCAAGCCAGCTTATTAAATGATGTATAAAGGAAAAATAATTGAGTTTATAGACTATAGTTCCCAATTCATATGAAATTTGATAGTTATGTATGCACTTGTAAATAAGCCCTATCCACATTTTCTCACAAGATAGATGATAAATAATGATAGTTGCATTTTTTAGGAAGTTTGACTAGTTAGCTAATTTATCATTTTTTAGGGAATTTTATTTTGTTGGACTCAAAATGGAACATGGCCCAACAATTCAATATGGATTCAACACATATGTAGCGTAGTTTGGGCTTTATAATTGGACATTTGTGTCTGGGTCTTGTGGCAAACCCAATGAATTGATAAAAACAAGAAGCCCAATAAATATATATATATATATATATATATATATTTATCGGGCTTCTTGTTTTTATCAATTCATTGGGTTTGCCACAAGACCCAGACACAAATGTCCAATTATAAAGCCCAAACTACGCTACATATGTGTTGAATCCATATTGAATTGTTGGGCCATGTTCCATTTTGAGTCCAACAAAATAAAATTCCCTAAAAAATGATAAATTAGCTAACTAGTCAAACTTCCTAAAAAATGCAACTATCATTATTTATCATCTATCTTGTGAGAAAATG